GCCTCACCAGGGAACCAGGTGAAAATAAGCCCTACAGGGTTGGTCAAGGAACCCCATGTGAGGGCCCAGGCATCCATGTTTTTGTTCTCTGAGCTCAATGGGTGAGGGGAATCATCTGCCACTTTCACAGAGTGCTAAGCTAGTTTCCTTCCAGAATTGCAAGCCTCTGAGCTTGTCTCCACCTGCTCACAAAAGCTAACAACTCTGGGTCCTGCTTTGTGTATCACCTGGTGGGAGGCAAAGTGCTGCTACCTTTAGTCACTTGTGCTCTTGTGTTCACGGGACCACATCATGCCGATGTCATTTTTCCTAACCCCAACTCACTCATATGACCTGGCTGGGGCCCCAGGAACATTTGAGAAGATGGTTCTGGACCTACTCCATTTGGGGTCATTACCAGCCTTGGCTGGGTCTCCCAGCCCCTGCTGATTCACCTTCCAGTGCATAATGGGAGGCCAGAAAGCAGTCGAGGGAGCTGGGATTTTAGGTCTCATCACAACGACACTGCAAATAAAAGAATCTGCCTTTCCTCCCCAAACTTCACTAAGACCTTGAAAGGCTTTTGGCATTAGAAATGCCAGGGAGGATAACCCTGAACTTCAACATATTCAAGTCATTACAAGACTAGGCTGACCAGATCCGCTGGAGGTGTGTCAGAACCTCTCAGTATTCTGGGTGACACCCATGATCAGCGGTCCAGCAGGCTCAGCCTCCTCAAGGGTCCCTTTCCTGGAGGCCACCCTTATCTTCCAGAAACTGACTGTCTCTGCTGAATCACCATCCTTGCTCTACACCTTCCTGTCCACCTGGCTATGGAGCCGCCGCCCACTCAAGGCTAACCAGGAAATGTGGCAATCTGCAAATTCCCAAAGATGTAGCAATGCAAAGATTGCAAGCTAGCACACTAGTAATTTTTATCACACTAATAACATGTTGGAATAATATTTTGAACATGTTGGGTTAAATAAGATATATTACTAAAACAAATTTCCCTTGTTCTTTTTCTTTCTTTTCTTTTCTTTTTTCTTTTTTTTTTTTTCTTTTCTTTCTGGACCTGGAGATTGAACTCAGGACCTTCTATTTGCTAAGTAGGTGCCATATCACTAAACTAAATCCACCCCCCTCGTTCTTTTTTTAAACATTTATATTTTTAACGTGGTTACCAGAAAATTGAGTTATATACTGGCTTGCATATGTGGCTGGAACTGTATTTCTATTGGCCGGTGCTACTTTAGACAGCCAGCAGGGACTTCTCCAGGACTGGTTCTATACCCTTTCTGTATTTTCTTTACCTCCAAAAGCAAATTGGTTCTTTCCTACTTTATTTCTGGGTGGCATTGTGTTGTGAGCTGTGGAATGGTCCTTGGAGAGGTTCTTTCCTGCTCTGTGCTGTGGACTGAAGCTAACCCTAAAGATCTCTCCTACCTCCTCCAACTATATTGTCCTGCCTGGGCTACCAAGCTCTCCTGGTACAACACAAGGCTTCCTTGTAACCCTTGTGCAGTAACAATGTGTGCATGTCACTCAAAGCCCACACAGATCATTTTCCCTTGAAACAATGCTGCAAGTGTTGCTGAAAAATGTCGAGCTGTTACTACCTGGGAACAGCTGGGCAGAACTCACCTGGAGAAGGTTGAGCCTCAGTCACAGTTCTCAGGGGCTGCTCTGCCTTTTGGCTAAGATCAAGTGTAGCATTTGAGGCAGCCTGCCCTTCCTGGCCCCTGTAAATCCTGGTAACTGGCTTCTTCCCAGAGACTTGAGCCCTATCTTCTTCACTATGTGGAGTGAGGGAAAGACTGCTAGAAACTGTCATCACCAACAAGCTTGAGCCACAAGAGATGAGATTAGAGCCTGAGAAGCAGGGCGTGGGTGCACACACCTGTAGTCCCAGCACTCGGGAGGCTGAGACAAGAGGATTGCCATGAGTTCAAGGCCAGCCTGGGAAACATGGTGAGTTGAAGGCAAGCCTGAACTACATAGTGAGACCCTGTCTCAAAACAAAATAAAACAAAACAAAAAAAGATTAGAACCTAAGAATCTCTATTTATTTATTTTGGAGACAGGGTCTCATTACATAGTCCAGGCTGGCCTTGAACTCACTATGTAGCTCAGGCTGGCCTTGAAATCATGGTGAAGCTCTTGCCTCAGCCTCTCTGAGTGCTGGGATTACAGGTGTGTGCCACCACGCTCAGCCCTATTTATTTATTATTTATTTTTGAGGTGCTAGAGATCAAATCCAGAGCCTGGAACATATTAATCAAGCACTCTACCACTGTGTTCCACCCCTGGACACATCCTCCTTTTTCACGTATTTGCTTTACATTGGCTGGCTGATGTAGGCTTTGGAGGTAGCACTAGGTCCACATCTCTATTTTACCACTCGGTAACTACAGGACTCAGAAGAACATCATTCCATTTAACTGGATCTAAATTCCCTTACCTGTAATAATGGGGACAATTCCACATACCTCCTAGAGATGTTGACGGGATTAAATTAAATAATGGAATAAAATCACCTTGCATATTGTAGGTGTTTAATAGATACTACTTTCTTTCACCTTCATCCTTTCCTTTAGCAATCTGGCAAAGAAAATATTAAAACCATCACAGAAAATTGAAAATAAATCTTGTGTTCTTGTATTCTTGTATTAATCCAAACTTTGGTTCCTGGTATAATTTTATAATCTGGTAGAGAAATTCTGTGAGGTAGAGATTAACTTTATAGCTCTAACCTGGTGCCAGGCAAAAGGTACATGCTAGGTAAATGATAGTTACATGGATGAATGTTGGATTTAATACAAGCAAAGGCTGGGACACGTGAAGAATATATAAGAAGCATTAAGTCAGAATTACTGCTGTGAAAGAAATATAAAAGTTGTCAGAGGGCCGGGGATTTAGCTCAGTGGTTCTGCCGCCTGCCTCCTAAGCACAAGGAC